AAAAAAATATTTATTCCAAGGCTCACAGCTGTCTATCTTCACTATTTCGGTCCAACCCTTGTTGATCCCAACCAGGCAGCAACACCTCTTTGTGGTAGCACACTTGTGTGTTGTTGTGTAAAGAAATCTCCCCCCCCCCTCCTGGTTCTTTTGAAGTTTTCATTGGGCTGTGGCTAGTTGCCAAGAGAAATACCAACGCCGAGCATGGAATAAATATTTTTTTTGGGGGGGGGGGCTGTCTTCTGAGTAGACTTTTGCACCTTTGAGCTAATTATTGAGATTCTTGTTGATTAAAATCTTGGGTCTTTCACCATCGGCATCATGCCACTTTGATCTGACATTGTTACTTGCATGATCGCTGTGGAAAGAGGCAATCCTACTCAGATAACACCCATGATTATCAACAGGATCTGGGTATAACGTAAGACCCAAATCTTCTAGGGGTGACTACACAATTTCTCTTGGATCCAACTGCTGAAGAACGGGTTGAACTGAGGCATGGTTTATTGTAATGTGGGATTTGCTTCTCTGGGATGCAAAGCAATGGTTTAGAGTAGGTTGCTCAACCGTGGCGAACTTCAAGATGAGTGGACTTCAACTCCCAGAATTCTGGGAGTTGGAAGTCCACCCATCTTAAAGTCAACCAAGGTGGAGAGAGATACTAGCTGAGGATCTTCAAAACCGCCACATTAATCTATTGGTGAGGTGACTTTGCTTTCTCTCTTCTCCCTCCAGTCAGCTGCAAGACGGGCTGGGACATCGTGTGCAAACTGCCAGACGACAACCACCACATTGTGGAGGAGGAACGCCAACGGGGATCCTGTGTGCAATGCCTGTGGGCTGTACTACAAGCTCCACAATGTAAGTGAGATGGTCATACTCTCAGCAGAGATAACATGGTTGTGCTACCACAGGGGTGTCTGACCTGCTCGGCTGTTTAAGACTTGTGGACTTCAGCCCATGATGGCTGGGGAATTCTGGGAGTTGAAGTCCATGGTTTTTAATGTTGACAAGGCCAAATGCCCCTCCATTACAAAGGCAAAGCTGGTGTTGGAAGAGATATCCATCTGGCTCAGTTCCAAGCGGGGAGAAGACACTGGAAACATGGAGGCTGATTGGCAAGATAGTTTATTGATGGACAGGACCACAGATCCTGGGCAGATGACCACGTGGACTGGAGAGAGAGAAAGAGAGAGAGAGAGAGAGGGAGGGAGGGAGGGAGAGAGAGAGAGAAGGAGGGAGAGAGAGAGGGGGAGAGAGAGAGGGAGAGAGGGAGAGGGAGAGAGGGAGAGGGAGTGAGGTATTTATACCCTCTGTTGGGCCTTGCCCTTGAGCTTCCTGTTCCTGTGGCAAGAGCATGTATTCTATTGGCTGTAGTCAGACTCCCATGCTAGGAGTTTGTCTGAGATAAGTTTGGTTGAAGCCTGGAGGGGGATGCAGTGTCCCCAGGTGATTTTACAATGCAGTGAGCTGTGCTGCTGATAGATAATCCTATGATGTCCTGGAGGGTCACGTCTTAGTTCCTCAGCCAGCTTTGTTCAGCTTTGCTGGCTGAGGGATTCTGGGAATCGAAGTCCACAAGTCTTAAAGTTGCCAAGATTGGAGACACCTGCTCCACACCGCAGACTGACTGAAGAATTCTGGAAGTTGTAGTCCGCACACCTTAGAGTTGTCAAAGTTGAGAAGTTCTACATTAGACATTCCAGAGATAGAGATGAATGAATGCTAAGTATCTGGAAATTGTCCTTCAATCAAGTCAGGTGATCGGGATTGCACACACACACAGATCTCACTTGTGTTTTTCCCTGCCTTGCAAGGTTGGAGACCCCTACTCTAGAATAGTGCTTCTCAACGTCTGCCATTTTAAGTTGTGTGGACTTCTACTCCCAGAATTCCCCAGCCGGCAAAGGAATTCTGGGTATTGAAGTCCACAGGCCTTAAAATGGTCGAGTTTGAGAAGCAGTGCTCTGGAAGTTTGTTGTTATGTGTGCCTTTCAGTGGTGGGTTTCAAAAATTGTTTGAACCTACTCTGTGGGTGTGGCCTCCTTGGTGGGAGTGGCTTGTTGCCCATGTGACCGGATGGGAGTGGCTTGCTGCCCATGTGACCGGATATGAAGATGCCGCCGACACTTGTCAGAACCACCTTAAATTACCTCACACACAACACTGGCATGCATAAGCATATGATGTAAACTTGTTTTTTAAAAGGCATCTTTGGTTTGCGTTAAAACAACTTCAACACACGCAATGTTCTGATTGCACCACAAACGCAGTAGTCATCCTTACCTTTCACAGAGGCACTGAGTTTTATAAATATGAGCATGATAGTGTAGAATAATCATATCCAAGGACCAGTGGTGGGTTTCAAAAAATTTTGGAACCTCTTCTGTAGGTGTGGCCTGCTTTCCGGGTCCACTGGTGGAACCTCTTCTAACCAGTTCGGTAGATTTGATGAACCGGTTCTACCGAATAGATGCGAACTGGTAGGAACCCACCTCTGGTGCCTTTGCATTTGTGTGTGAGATTTTGGAAAAGCGGGAGACATGACCAGCTCACAAAAAAAGTTAATTGATTTTTGTTTAGATTAACAGACCCCTGACCATGAAGAAGGAAGGCATCCAGACCCGAAACCGGAAGATGTCTAGCAAGTCGAAAAAGGGCAAAAAAATTCACGACAGCCTGGAGGATTTCCCCAAAAGCAGCTCCTTCAACCCCGCCACCCTTTCCAGACACATGTCGTCCATCAGTCATCTTTCTCCCTTCAGCCATTCAGGCCACATGTTGACCACACCGACTCCGATGCACCCTTCTTCCGGCTTGTCTTTCGGACCTCACCACCCCTCAAGCATGGTCACCGCCATGGGCTAAACAAGAATGCGTTCTCAGGCAGAGGGGGGGGGGGAACAATAAAAAAATAAAAAATAGAGACTTCCCTGCTTAAAAGAAAAAGAAAAAAAAGTGAAAGAAAGAAAGAAAGAAAGAAGAAACCGAGTTCCTGTTTTCGTTTAACTTCTCCAAACGAGAAGTATCTTTATATATTGGCCTCATCCGCGAGGAGCCTTCCTGCCCCTTCCCAAAACTGTTCAAGGCAGATGCTAAAACGGGACGGGCAGGAAAATAAAGGAAGACGGGAAATATTTTTTAAAAAAACTGGCTGAAATCCTCAGAAACGAAAGAAACAAGATGGAATAATACGGAACGTGGACTGCTTGCCGCCAGGATCTTTGCGTTTCTCCACCACCGAAATCCGGAGGCCATTTGTGAATAAACCATCGCCACGCAAACTTCACTGTCGAACTGGGTTTTTAGTGCTGTGAAATAATAATAATAATAATATTAATAAATAATAAAACCCATACTGCCCTCCTTCCCTCCCTCCCTCCCTCCTTCCTTCCCCTTCCCCTCGCTTTCTCTCTTCCCCGCCGAAATGAAAGCAAATAATTGCTGAACACTGTATAACTTATATTGTAAGAAATATTGTACATTTTTTTTGGGGGGGAGGAAGATTGGCAACTTGGGTAGCTGTAAAAAAAAAGCAAAAAACACGGGGGTGGGGTGGGGGCAAGGATAAAGAAAAAAAAGAAAAGAAAAGAGAGATTTGGAGGTGTGGATAGTACGAGTACCACGAAACGAAACATTTTTATGGTACGGTCTGCGGAGAATGACGAACCGGCAAACGGATAAATTGCCAGTTATGCTTTTTTTAGCTCTTTTGCGCGCGCGCGCTCGCTCGCTCTCCTCACCTGCTGGCTGAAAATTATTTTGATGCATTAAAAAAAAAACACAATAAAATGACATCCAAGCTGTAAGCAAGTCATCCATTCCAGGCGACGGGCCTCTGATCCAACGGGAAAGGGGGGTTGAAGGGTGGTAAACAGGGCACCTGGCGTGAACATGGTCGCTTCTTTCTCACCGCCGGTTTGTCTGAAGGCCTATTCGCATTGTGAACCAGTTCTTGTAATTGTCGTTTGTATGTATAACTCAAAAGCTCTCAAATAAGACAAGGTGTAGATTTATTTCATCCTACGAGACGCAGATTTGAATGGTTGTATAAATTTTACTTGCTGCTAGTGTTTAAGAACTGCGCTTTGGTTTTGTTTTTTTCTTTCTCGTTTTCATATTTTTTTCCTTCCTCTTTTTTTTTTGGGAGAATAAACTAGATTAAATTCTGTTGATTTGATGTCGGCTTGTGGTTTGGAAGGGATGGGAAGCGACGTGCGAGAAGGGTCTGAGGATTTGTGGGGAGAAGAGCAACGAAGACGATAGACCAGGGGCATCCGAAGTTGGGAACTTTAAGACTTGTGGACTTCAACTCCCAGAATTCCCCAGCCAGCCATGCTGCCATGCTCCATGCTGGCTGGGGAATTCTGGGAGTTGAAGTCCACAAGTCTTAAAGTTCCCAAGTTTGGACATCCCTGCGATAGATGATTGACATTCTCAGTCTCATCCAGATCATGGTTGTCCCAAAGATGCTTTTTCCAAAAGACAACTGAGCTGTCTCGATTTTTTCTTCTTCTGAAAATGTTTCGCTTCTCATCCAAAAAACTTCTTCGGTTCTAACTGACTGGTGGGGAATCGTCGTCTCTCTCTCTCAAAGCTAACATCCAACTCTCAGAGAGCTAACAGCCAGATGACTTCGAAGAATATAAATCCTTCCGTTCTCCACCAGTCAGTCAGAACTGAAGAAGCTTCCTGAATTAGAATTGAAATGTTTTCAAAGAAAAAAAACAAAGTCCAGTTTATCTTTAGGGAGAAAAAAACCCCACCTTTGGGATGATAAAGGTCTGGAGGCTAAACTGTATGATGAATGGAGCTGGGTATGTCTAGCGCAGGGGCCGGCAACCTGCGGCTCTGGAGCCGCATGTGGCTCTTTCAACCCTCTGCTGCAGCTCCTTGTTGCCGGTAGGCCCTACAATTGATAGGGCTTTCGGTTAGGACAGGTAGAGGAAAATGGAGGCCGTGCTAGGAGGAGACTCTATGGTGGGGAAACCGGATTTCCGCTCAGGAGAGGAAAAAGGACACCACACTCGGATGAGACTCTATGGTGGGGGAACCGGATTTCCGGTTGGCAGAGGAAAAAGGACACCGCACTAGGAGGAGACTCTATGGTGGGGGAACCGGACTTCTGATCGACTCCAGAATTGAATGGGGAGGGGGGGGGCTTTCGGTTAGGACCTTTGTGGCTCTTTGAGTGTTTAAGGTTGCTGACCCCTGGCCTAGCCTATTGAAATAAAGGACTAGGGGTGACATGATAGTAGTCTTCCAGTTCTTGACGGGCTTTCATAGAGAAGAGGGGGGTCAACCTATTCTCCACGGCACCTGAGGGCAGGACAAGAAGTAATGGATGGAAGATTAATGAGAGGCCCAACCCAGAATTAAGGTTTCCTGAGGCTTCCTGATAGAGAAAAGAAGTGATACATTGAATGGCTTAACTCCTGAAAGTGTGGGTACTCCATATCTGGAGTTTTCAAAAATGGACCACACCATTTGACTGAAATGGTAATCTTGAACACAGGTTTGGACCAAAAGACTTCATGGATCCCTTCCAGCCCTATGATTCTACAATTTAAATTTAGCAACGGGGGGGCCCGCCGAAATAATTGGAGGCCTGCTAATTTCCGTGGGACAAAATATTCATTTTAAACCATGGGCTCTAACTTTGCCCCACTAGAATAAATTCCTTATTTTCAGATCTTGGTTTTGCATCTTGGGGCGGAGAGAAGGACGCGGCAAGATAGGTAGCAAAACAGTAATCTTTATTCAGCTCAAGTAACTA